ACATGCGTGGTTGGTGGTGCAGATTGGTCAAGGACTGCCCCTACCACCCGAGATGGGGGTGGGGGTGACGGCATGGTGTATACCGATTCAGTGAGTTGATATCGGTGCAGGTCCCTCCCCACTGCCCGAGATGGGGGTGGGGGTGACGTCATGGCGTTAGGAGGAAGAGGTGCATATCGGTGCAGGTCTGTTCCTACCACCCGAGATGGGGTTGGTGATAACGGCATGGTGTTTGAAGGAAGAGGCGCAAGTGGGTGCAGACCCGTCCTTATCCCCCGAGGCGGGGGTGTTGGAACGGGGCTAAGGGGAGGAGGTGCAACAGCATCTGTCTGGGGCGGTTGTGGCTGTTCGTCTCTGAGTCTCAGACCAGCTCGCCCCATTTCAGAAATCTGGCGTGTAGCTGTAGCTAGTTTCTCCTCACAAGCTGTCAGGCGCTCCTGTGTTGTCTGACATTCACTTTGTAAAGTCAGCCATCCTCGGAGTATTATCTTCTTGTCTGCCTTGCAATCGTCCAGCTCCTTTAATGCGACCTGCAACTGTGCTTGTAGCATATCGTTATCTGAACACACGGCTCGGTACGCCTGTTCTTTATCCCTAAATCTCTCCTCATATGATTGAGCCTGTTCTGACAGCTCTGCCTTTGCGAGGTCCCTATCAGTCTGAACTTGTTGTTTCTGCAAATCAGATTGATTCATCAATACGTCACACCTGTCCTTTTCAGATTGATATCCGTTGAACAGCGTGACATTTTGTTCAACCAGATGGTCCACTTCCGCTTTCAGAAGCAGGGAGATTTTTGCCAAGCGTTCACGGCTCGATTTCGTGTCCTCTGACACTTTGGCTGCTTCCGCCAACCTCTGCAGTTCCTCATTTCTTTGATCATCATCAAGGTTTTCTAATTGCTCTAATTGTGTACCAATAATTGAATTTGTTAAAATATATAAAGCCGACTGGACGGCATCACTGGATTGAAAGGGGTCAGTGTTTACCTGTTCGTTTTCCATTATCTGCTATTTAGAAATTAAATAGGAGATGTAAATGTTTAGGTGGCAAAATAAAATCAGAAGAGTTTCTCTCTACTGATGTATTTACTCTTATTTAGTGATTTATCAATTAAACGTGCATTAATTTTTAAGCAAGTGAGTAAACTTTTTCCATTTTTGTGAATATCTGTAACTGTTTCTATTTTTAAAAGTTTGCTTTAATTTTTATTTTGTACCTTTCTTAAGGAATTATCAGTGAATAAAAATGTGTTCGGTAAATGCTCTTTGCATAAATACCTCTATAACTTTTAAAATGCAAGATAACAGTGTTTATTCAACTTTGAGGAACGTTTATTTACTCAAAAATGCCTTACAGAAAAATAAAAACGTTTAATTTCACTCTTTAAACCTAAAAACGAAGTGAAAACCTGTGATCTTCCGTTTATCCAGAAGGTGTCAGTACAACCTTATTAATTTTAATCCAGACACTGTTAGTGTTGTCCAGTAGGGGTCGCTATGACTTCCTGTGGCGTCCGGTCGTTAGCTGTTAGCTCAAAATTAGCATCGGCTAGACTCGGATAAAACCAACATTTCTGAACGGATTTTTTACACAAACGTGGCAAAATTTTAGCAATTAGACTTCGAAGAACTTAAACAGCGTTTCAGAACACAGCTTTAAAGCGCTTTTCAGCTTTAAAAAGCAGATTTTATTCCCCATGAAAACGAGTTTCCATTTCCGGGTCACGTGACTGAAATCACCAATGACAAAGCAGCAGGGTTGAGAGGAAGTTACGTAGGCACGTCATTCAACCTTCTCAGCAAATCAGAGCGCTCCACAGCAGCAAATCAACCAACCACGAAGCGTTAGCAGCCATGTTAGATTAGCCTGAAACTATTTCGTCAACTTATCGTCTTTTAAACTGTCAAAATGCACTTTTTCTGTTAAAAATGTAACGAATCAACTCTGAGCTGTACGGAGTCTTCTACTCCGGTCTCAAAAACGTCTTTCTAGCTATTTAAAAAAACCTCGTTCGAACTTTTTCAGAACCGAGCCGGTCCAACAGAACCTCCGTCCGTTTGGACCGTCTTTTAAACAGAATAACGTTTTCCACAGCTCAAAACCAGCTTAGTTACGATAACAGTCGTACAATTTCAGCTTTCATAAAGACTTATGACACTATTTCAGCTTTCTGTGAGCTCCCAAGCATCACATTCCAGCACGCTTAAAACATGCAGCGTTTTGACTTCAAAGCGGCGCAGCTTCAGCGCGTTTCAGCACAGCTGTTAAACTGTTATTTTATGCCAACATGTAAAATTCAATCTTCACACGAATATACAGTCATTTATGAGCACGTGACGGGCCACCAGAATGTAGATGAACAGATGCTCAGATATATTCATCAATTAACACGGATTCCTCATTTTTCTGAACTGAATAAAACGTGCATTGAATTTAGAATTTAATGAAATGCAAACGTGAGACGTCATTTATATTTGACCCATCAAAATGAATGCGGTCATTTATTTACAGAATCAAAGTTTAACATCAAACATTTACATTAATTTGGCAAATTATGAAAATAACAACATAAGCAATCAATCAGGAAAAATCATACGGCCATGATTTTTCCGTTGCTTCACCACAGACATTTATGAAAACTGTACAATTATGATCTTTTACCCACACGGATGTGGATGAGCACTTTACACAGACATTTCTAAAATATCTGGAAGAATTTCTACTTGAGAGAAAAGTTTAAAGATGGGAAAGAAGTTAAAGGGAGTAAAGATGGTATGTGAGGGGAAGTGTTCACCAGAACCGACACTCTCCATCAGAACCCAGCTCACCTCGGTACGCTTGGTAGGAAACTTGACTCATTACCTTTCTGAGATTAATCAGCAGATATGGAGTTCCGTTAACGCTACCTGTCCAGCGTCTCCTTAGGATGGCTGTAGCTCGTCAGAAGTAGTGGCGAGTGGAAAGTGTTATATTCCCATGACTCGGAAGAGCTCTGTTGTCATGTCAGGATCTTCCCGTCTCCCAGAACTGGGCTTCTCCGCACAGAACTGAACAGAACTGAACTCAACCGAACCGAGTGGAACCCTCACAGCACTCCAGCAGAACTGAGTAGTTTTCAGATCTCAAGCAGAGCCGAGCCGACCAGGAAGTACCGACAATTTAAAGAGCCCTTTTCCCGGTTCATACGGGAGTCTCCCATTGGCCAGAACCGACCAGACGGGGTGTGTTTTGTGACGTAAAAGGTTAGAATGCAGCAAGAATTGTTATGGAAAGATCAGAAATGTTCTCACAGACAGAGAGAGTTTTGTTTTGGCGCGTTTCAGAAACAGGTGCCAAAACCTCTATATTTACGTCTGAGAGGATTCTAAAAACATGACGGTTCGTTCCAACAACTTGTTTTGCGTTTGACTCCAACCTTGGACCAACTTACACTTGCTCATTCAAAGACAGAAAATCAGAAAATGCATAAAAATCTGTAACAGACCTCAACATGAATTCTAACTTTGCATGAGAATTTAAAAATCATTACACAGTTAATAAAATTGATTAGTTCACTGCAACATCTAAAATGGTTTGAACTAAGACACTTTGATTATCAACATTTGTAAAATAGTAATGATAATAAAAAAGAGAGTGTTCTTTTCACTTGAATCTTCAAGAAAGAAAGTCTCAGGATGGGTGAACCTGTATCTCTGGATTCAAATCAATGAAATGACAGTTTCTGTCCCACAAGGTTCTTAAGGTCAAGGATTTTGACCTTAGGCTTAGTCGTGACACCAGATTAAGTTCACTACATATGTATATTTATATGTATATATATGTACAAAGTATATGTATATTTATATGTATATTTATATGTTTATATATGTTTATGTATATATTCAGAATCCCTTTGGGATTACTAAATTAAATTAAGTGCTGTCGTAGCTCATCATCCTGGTTTCATTCAAGAGTTGTTATAGATGCTGATAGCTGTGGGCATGAAGGATCTCTCACAGCAAATCCAAAGAATCCGGCCACAGGTACCAACCTGTCCACGCGTATCCAGCCCACCGTCAAATCTGTCAGACCCCCCCGGTCCTCCCGGGCAGCAGGACCACCCAAAAACCGAGCAGAATTCCTCCCTGAGCGATGGTCACGCCTCCCATTAGTCTGCCAAGCTCTTTTTCACCATGGACAGACAGCTGAAGGTGCTTGGGATGATCCCAGTCCTCCCACTGTCACGAGTTGAGTTTCCCACCAGCTCCAGGATCTCTGCGGTCAGGTACTCAACTAGCACTGCCGGCAGGTTGACGGGAATTCATCCACGGCACCTCCTTTTCAACTCATTTGAGATTTGGGGCTGTAGCTGAGATAT